GTAGGGAGAGAAGAGAGGTGTCCCCTCTTCCCCATGCCAGGATACCTGGGTCATTCTCTGTCTGTAAGGCTCTGCCTCAGTCTTGACTCTTCTTTGCAATAACTCGCGTTAATCTAGCTAAGGGAACCTGTGTGAAGAAGTACATAGGATTCCCTGAGGAAGTAAAGGTCTGGTTTGAGTTAACCAACAGGGGGTTACAGGTCTACCTCAGACGTTGCAAACAGATGCCTGCACGCCCCAAGCAGTTGACATACACCAGGGATGCCCACTAGGTAAGGAGCCTCAGGGAGAGGGGAGCATCTTGCTCACCGAGAGAGCAGCTGCCTTTTGGAGCTGTAGCTGTTACTCAGGTCTAGCTAACTGTTGCCACGGTGCCAGATAGTCTTGTTTTCCAAGAGACATATCAGCAGTGTTTGATACTGATTTTTATCTGGAGTATGTATGTACGTGGGTGTGTGATGTTATATATACATACACAAATGTTATGCGAAACCCCAGTTTTTAAATATTGGCAACCAGAACAGAATTGTTTTCAGAGACAGTGCTGGCCAAATAAACCTGTCTGTAGGCCACCATCGGTCTGCAAAGCTCTGATCTAACTAAGCTCGAGTAAGGTCCAGTTACAGAATCTCAAAACCGTATAACATTCTGATTTGCTTTTTAACTTATTTTTTATTAGGTCATTTAAAATGAGACTCTGGAGATTTTGCAGAAAAGAAAAGAAAAGAAAAGAAAAGAAAAGAAAAGAAAGAAAGAAAGAAAGAAAGAAAGAAAGGAAGGAAGGAAGAAAAAAGGAAGAGAGAAAGAAAGAAAGAAACAGAGAAAGAAAGAAAGAAAGAAAGAAAGAAAGAAAGAAAGAAAGAAAGAAATCCTAATATCTGTAATTTGAAAATTAGAGAGCTAAATTTAAGAGATTAAACCAAGGGCATACTAGCAAGACCTTGCATTAGAAAGACTCAGGTCCCCATGAGTGAAGCAGACCAGACCACTCTGGTGTGGGTCTGGGAGGGGCAGGAGGCTTACCTCACACGACTGGATGCAGTGGATGAGGAAGGGGGGTGGGTGCCATTGACGCTGTCCAGTGCACACGATGCTCTGAAGGGGAAGGTGGAGAGAACAGAAAACAAAAACAAGGACCCCTGGTCAGTAAGAGAAGGGGAAAATCCTGAGCTCACCCCACCAGCCCAACCCTGTTCCCTGAGGAGGGAGACTCCAGCTGTACCCCACACAGGGGTCCGAGGCCAGCCGGACTTGCCCGTGGAAGTGCTAAACTTGCCAGATGGTGCCGAGGTGGAACTCTCATACTCTTCATCCTCCTTCACCCTCCCCAACGTATCAAAATTTCCAGAGAGGTGCAGGTGTAATTTTAGAAAGCATCCTCAGGGGCACCTGGGTGGCGCAGTCGGTTAAGCGTCCGACTTCAGCCAGGTCACGATCTCGCGGTCCGTGAGTTCGAGCCCCGCGTCAGGCTCTGGGCTGATGGCTCAGAGCCTGGAGCCTGTTTCCGATTCTGTGTCTCCCTCTCTCTCTGCCCCTCCCCCGTTCATGCTCTGTCTCTCTCTGTCCCAAAAATAAATAAACTTTAAAAAAAAAAATTAAAAAAAAAAAAAAAGAAAGCATCCTCAGTGTTGTAATGAGTGTAATTTGGTTCCAGGCATAGTATTTTTTTTCTATTTGTCTTGAAATTTTAAATAACATTACAAGAAATTGTGAGAGGCTGGGTTGACAAGGAAGCACCATGGATTTTTAAAGGCTGAGCAGTATAGCTTCACAAGAAGAGTCATGAACTAAACACGGATCTCAAGACTCCTAGGCAAGAAGACGTGAGTGCCAAGCAGGGGCTGGAGGGTGAGTGGAACAAATCTGTAGCTCCTGTTAGCACCATTTATCCCCTCCTCCTGGGAAATAAAAGGTCTCTGCTGGGCAGACAGGGTTAATGGGACACCACTGTGGCTCAAAATGGCGCCCGCATCAAGCTGATGACAGCAAAAACACATTCATTCATATTAAACACCGGTGACTTTTCCTGTCCCAACAGCCATTTCCAGATGTGCGCTGAAACAAATACTCATCTACTCTTTGTTGAATAATAATTACAACCCATTTTCATTGAGCTTTTCCCTTTTAATTTTTGGATTTTAAAATTTCAAAAGAAACATTTCAGGAAAAGAAAAAGTCCCACAGGAGGCTTCAGGGAGAAAAGGAGATTGATTCTCTCTGTAGCCCATCAACCCAAACCCTTTGTAGACTTTCATACTCACGTTTTAATTCAGTGTGATAGGAATACAGTGCAATCAGAAGAAAAAGAATACATTGTGAGATATGAGCTTTCTGCAAGATAGCACCTCTGGTAATTAGAAATTATATGTTCTAGAATGTTAAGACTATGTGGTAATCAAATTGGAGACATTTGCATATATTAACATGTAGGTATATGAATATACACCTTGTAGTTACGAGAATAGGGAACTGCAAGATTTTTCTAGAGTTGTACTAGTATAAACTAAAATTTCTCTTTCACAGCCTCCCTAAAGGGGAGGTTATACCATAAATCCTAACGAATTCTGATATTCTAAATTCTACACTGTAATTATAGAAAGTGGCTTGGTTTAAGTTTTCATTGCACTGGGAAAAAAGGGATTATAGAGGATTATACAAATACATAATGGGGGGGTCAGCCTACTAAAAAATGATGTATTCTGCACTAACAGCCACTTAAGCAGCATTTGCATATAAACAATGGCTATGCTACCTAGAAAGGATTCTTGTTTATGTTTTAAACCCAGTATCAGTGGAACTCTTTTAGCTAGCAAGGGATTCAATTTCTAGTATTTGAAATATCAATGTTTTATGCTTCCGTTGTTGTTACCAGATAATGCTAATAGCATCAAACAGGAAGTTGTACCCTTGAGATGTCAAGACATATTTTCCTTCTCAGAGCACCACATTCCCTAAGGATCCCAATTCCCCATTTTTAACAGTCAGACATTGAAATGTATACATGCTTCAATCACTAGGAACCAGAGTTGCTGCCCTCAAAGAGGTCAAAGTCTGTGGGGAAGGTAGCTGGAAAAATTGTCAGTGCTTCCCAATAAGAGGATACGTAGCCTCGGCAGCCTCACATGATGTCTATGGCCAGAACTCGCCAGAACACCCTGAACTGACTGCCAGCTTCTCTTATGCCCACTACACCTTCTACCCCAATCACTTCTTCTATAAATGCAGGAGTTGGGGGTGCCTGGGTAGTTAAGTGTCCGACTCTTATTTCTACTCAGGTCATGATTTCATGGTTTGTGAGTTCAAGTTCCGCATCAGGCTCTGTGCTGACAGCATGGAGCCTGCTTGGGATTCTCTCTCTCTCTCTCTCTCTCTGCCCACCCCCTGCTCTCTCTCTCTCAAAATAAATAAATAAACTTAAGTTCTAAATAAATAGATAAATAAATAAACAAGCAAATAAATAAATGCAGGAGTGTTGGTTTGTTAATAACACTTTAGAAATTCTCAGGATATATTGCAAAGGGACTTAAAAGAAAGGAAAAGAGTCTGTCTTTGCTTTTGATGCGTTTTCTTCGATGCTCTTTTGTCCTATTATCTTTGACTGATGTTTTCTATCTTTGTATTCTTATGTAATTTTATTATCGTGTAATATAGATTCACAGAATAAAATATAAAATGTAGGAAAGGTGCACAGTCTCCCTCCTACTCCTGATCCCCAATCACCCAAGTTCCTCAGTTTGATTTTCTGTGTTTTGTATCATTACGGAGACGTTCTACACATATGCAAACATATATGTATGAAATTATCTCCTCACACAAATTCTAATATGCTATCATTTGATTTTGTACTTTGGTCTGTTGTTTGCTTGCTTGCCTTTATTCCACTTCACAGTGTTTCTCGGGGTTCTGGAATGTTGCATTCCATTGATTGCATAGTATTTCATTGCATGTATAAGATCTCATATACTTAACCAGGCCCATACTGATGGATATTTAGGTGATTTACAGTCTTTTGCTCTAACAAACAATGCTATGTATAAATCATTTCACACACGTGCAACTATTATCTGTAGAATAAATACATGATAGTAGAACTGAGAATACCCATCTCAATAATTCTTTAATCTCGCTCTCCCTCTTGCTCTCCCTCTCTCTCTCTCGAGATGAATTCAAACTGGCTTCTTCCTTAATCTCCATAAAATTGCAAAAGCTTCTGGTACCTGGGTCTAAGACCATTCTAGATTGCAAAATTCTTGAGAATAGGGACCATCTCCCACTCTTACATCTTACCTCAGTGACTTAGACATGATGTTTTACAAGCATTTGTCAACCACTAAATAGTTAGAGCTCCAGAATTCTCCTCTATTTTCTGGCCTATGAACGTTGTTCATCCCATAAGAAAAGATATGCACGTGCCATTAACTGAACTACTACTTATTGATCAAAACGGGAGGAGAATTTCAAATACGCTTCAGGCCTTAAAGTTTATGGGCAAGTTTGTGGTGGTGAGGTGTGAGAGAGGAATGAAACAGTAAGAAGATAAGGAGAAGGGCTAACTCCTGGTGGGATGAGTTAACTTAATTCAACAAGGGAGCTTTTAGACTGAAGTGTCTCTGATGCCATGGTGGTCTACGTAAGCGACCCAGGATCTAAGCCTATACATGCTTCAAGATTATGAAACTAAAAACTACGGACAACCAATCACAAAGAGCCAACGAGGCTTTAAGCTACAGCCAATCAATGATTTCCTTACTTTCCTTCCTTTTTTCTCTACCATAGTGTCTCCTGAGCTCCTCTTGGTGAGGCACTCCTAACCATTTCTAGTTTCACACTGACTAATTCAAACAGATTTTTGCTCAAATAAACTCAAGATTTTTCATATGCCTCAAGTTATCTGTTAACAGCTCCCTATGATTTTCTTTTTTTCTGGAATATTTTTGACAAATGGTGATAGTATATATTACATTTGAAAAACTATAGAAATTGGGGCCTCTGGGTGGTTCAGTCAGTTGAACGTCTAACTCTTGGTTTCGGCTCAGGTCATGATCACATGGGTTGTGGGATCAAGCCCCATGTCGGGCTCTGTGCTGGCCGTGCAGAGCCTGCTTGAGATTCTCTCTCTCACTCTCTCTCTGCCTCTCCCCTGGTTGTGCTCTCTCTTTTTCTACATAAATAAATAAATAAACTTTAAAAAAAGAAAAGCTAGGGGCGCCTGGGTGGCTCAAGTCGGTTGAGCGTCCAACTTCGGCTCAGGTCATGATCTTGCGGTCCATGAGTTCGAGCCCCGCATTGGGCTCTGTGCTGACTGCTCAGAGCCTGGAGCCTGTTTCAGATTCTGTGTCTCCCTCTCTCTCTGACCCTCCCCCGTTCATGCTCTGTCTCTCTCTGTCTCAAAAATAAATAAATGTTAAAAAAAATTAAAAAAAAAAAGAAAAGCTATAGAAAGTAATTGAAAGAACATCCTTATATCCTCTGTTCAGCCTTATCAAATCTTAATTTGCTGTATCTGCTTCCAGAACCTAAGTCGCTAGAGATTCAATTAATGTCCTCTACATGTAGCCCTCCAACCTCATTCTCCTTCCTTCCTCCTTATTGGTAACAACTATTCTGAATTTTTTTCAGTTATTTATTTATTTTGAGAGAGACAGAGAGCGAGCAGGGGAGAGACAGAGAGAGAAATTAAGAGACAGAGAGAAAGAGAATCCCAAGCAGGGTCTGTACTATCAGAGGGGAACCCGAGGCGGGGCTGAAACTCACAAACCATGAGATCATGACCTGAGTCAAAACTAAGTCAGACACTTACCTGACTGAGCCACCCAGGTGCTTCATAACTATTCTGAACTTTTAAGTTATTATTTCTTTACAATTTTATATGATTATTATTGCTATTACACTATTAGCAAGCCACTTTTCAGGTGAATTGATTGTGAACAAAGATTTGTTTTGAACTTTCCAAAAGGAAAGCAGTCACGAGGAAAACCAGTGTAAAGATTTTCTCTCAGGCCATTTCAAAAATTTTTAAAAGTAAAAAGGAAGATGGGAAGAACAAAGGGAAAGTAGAAGGGGGGAGACACAGAGAGAGAGGGACAGAGAGATGA